TGCAGTGCCCTCTGGAGAGCTGCACCAGGGCCGCCTTCGACGCTGGCAAGGCGTGCTTCTCGCCCAACGACTCCCGAATGATGAGCGGCAGCGCCGCGCTGGCTCCAGAATTCTGCGCGGGCGCTCCCGCTCGTGCGCGACTGCTCCGCGATCGCGGCGGTCGCGGCGGCGCGGGGTGCCCCCGCGTCGCGGGCGGCCGCCGCGACGGACTCGTCGACGAGGGCCCGGGCGCGCCCCTCCGCGACATTGGCCGCGCGCCCTGGGCGGGGCTGGCGCGGCGCGCGGGGGCGGCCGCGGGCGGGCGAATCATCTCGAGCCCAGAATGCGACGGGCAGATTGATTTCTGGCAAAATTTGGCCTTGGCGGGCGAAAGCGTGCCAGCGCGCGGAGATTGCCCCGCCAGTCGTCTGCTGGGCGCATGTGGTCTAGCGGTGCCTCTCCTTCCTCTTCCAACGGAAAATCCTCTTCCCTTCGGGGAGGGGCGACCCCCCCCCTCGCGTTTTTTTTTTTTGGGGGGGGCCGCGGGTCAACGTGCTTCATTCAGCGTGTCTCTTCGCCATTTCTCCCCGCCATCTCTCAGGGCTTCTGGGTTGGCTGGTGGGGGGCCGCGAAGCGTGGGCAATGTGCGCGTCGATGGTGGCGTGGAAGAAGACGCGTTGCGACGCGCAAGCATCATGTGGAATTTCGTTTCCGCTAGCGGTTCGCAGCTCAGCTTGCCAGGGCGGCGCAGCGGAAGTCGCCGCGCGGGCCCCGCCCGCATTCGCCGCAGCTCTTCCGCGGGCGGGAAACGTCGGAGCTGGCGCAGCAAGAGCAGGCGCGGTGCCGGGGTTGCAGGCAAGTAATCCGGGCGAAACCAAGGGGCCCCCGCGTCCTCGGGAAGGGGGGGCAATATTTCTGCGTCGGGCCCGGCAGCCCGGATAGCTGCAAAATGTCACGGGCTTTGCCAGTGAGCGAGGGGAGCGCGCCCACGCGACGTGGCTGGACATATCGCGCCCGAGCGCGGCGCCTTCCGGGCCGCGCCAAATGCGCCGCGGAGCCCTGCCTGTCTGCGAACGCATCATTCGCGCGTGGACGACGCCCGCCCGGGCCTGCGCCTCCGCGGAAAGATCCTCGCGGAGCATTGCGTCCCGAAGCGGGCCCAGCCCGAGTTGAAGCGATGCCCATGCGGCGCCCCGGGATCCAGCATCTGCGGTCGCACTGATCTTCCCAGGCAGATGGGTCGCAAGGGCCCGGCACTGCGCCTCTCGTTCAGCCTGCTCCAGATCGGCAGTCAGACACCCATGTGTCGGATTCTGCCGTGTCTGACGTCGACGCAGCGGATTGCGGGTGCGTTGTCGGCGCCCTCCATCCGCGGGTGGGGAAATCTTTCGCGCCGCAAGCTATGGGAGCCCACGGCGTCTTCTTCGGGGCAGGCGTGGAGCGCTTCCCAGTCAGAAGGCCGCGCGCCAGAGATCGCGCGTTCGGAGCCGCATATGCGATGTCTCCATCCATGGTGCATGCTGGCGTCTGCTTCGATGTCCAGCAGCTCGCCGCCGGCTGCCGAACTCCCCCAGTCGGCAAGCTCGGCAGATTTGCGCCCCCCGAAGGGATGGGCGCCCGCCCCCGCAGAAGAGCGCCATGCGGGGAGGCGCAGGAAACGCGCGCCTGAGATGCTGCAGGGGACATCTGCTTATCTCCGGCAATCTTACGCGGGGGTCCGCGCGCGCGGGAGATCGCCGCGCCGCGCGCGCGACCGCCGCGTTGAAGTCGGGCCGCGCCGAGCGGGGGCGCCGACGGGGATGCGGGAGCGGGTCAAGTATCCAGCCGATCCAAGTCTGGCGGGCGGGCGGCGGTCGGACTCCGGACGGCGCGGGGCGCGCTGGGATCTTGCGTGCCAGAAGGAAATCGACGGTGGCGAAGGGCTGTCGTCGCGCGTCGGCTTCCGAATCGGGGTGGGGATCGTCTACGAAACCAAGGGGGACCACGCCGACTTGGGCTTCCATGGCCCGCAAAATATCCTCGACGTCCGCGTCATTGATGCCTGGGGCAGACTTGGGGCCAAACGGCACGAAATTGCTAGATCCCCCGTGCGGCTGGCGAGACGGAATGTAGAATCCCAAGCGGAGTGAATCGTCAGCTTCGGCCTTCCACTTCAGGAAACAATCTACCAGGTTCACGACGACTATCCACGTGCCTTCTCTAAGCCGCGAAGCAGCTGCCTCAGTCGTGCCATGCTGGACAGGGACAGGCTGCGCGAAATCATATACATGCGGCCGCGCCGGAGGTCCATGATGAGGCGTGCCATGAATCTGTCGAGATCTGAGTGATTCAAGGGCGTCGTCGCTGGCGTTGGGCTGTGGCTTCAAGATGGGCGCGCAGGGATTGACCTTGAGATTCGGCGGTCTAGATTGACCCAGCGCAAACTAACAGTTCGATCTTTCTGACGGCGTCGGGCGTGTCGAACTCGCGTTCGACCCAGGGCTCGCGCTCGCGGAAAGACGGGCGGTTCCTCGAGGCGCCG